CTCGTGTACGTTGGTCGGGTGGGGGGTACTCGATTTTCGCTACAAATATTCAAAAATCTTGCCACGCTCAGAATCATAACCCTTTCTGTGTTGTTGGAGAAGAGGGGCGGGGATTATAACCCCAACTACGCAGAATTCTCCTTTCTGTGTTGCCGGAGAAGAGAAACTTCTTTCTTGTTAATTTGTCTAATAAGCAAGTTAAAAAAAAAAAAACTTGAATATTAATTATCTCAAAAACTAGAAGGCTTCCGCACCTATTTGTAAAGTGGAGGACTCCAGTTTTCCAATGGTACCACTTTTGTTCCCCGAATCGAGGGTCTCCATTTTCAATGTGAATATAATATATACATTTGCACACATATATTTCTACTACATAAGATAAAATATATATATTTTTTCCTTACAGCCGCTTCGTTCTATGGCGAGCGAATTAAATCAGGTGCTCTACCGCTTGCATCTACTCACATCCGAAATGATACATTTCATACATCAAATGCAGTATTACATACTCTTCGAAGTGATTGAATGCTCCTGGGCCGAATTGCAGGATCGTGTGCAACAGGCTAAAGCATTAGACGATATACTCGACGCTCATGATGATTTTCTTAATGCCATTAAGTGTGGGGCATTTCTCGACTCCGATTCTGGGCAGCTGTGCCAAAATATGGAAAATGTATACGATGGTATAATACGATTAGAATTGTGGCAGGACAAATTCTATGAAATTTGCTTTAAGGAGCTATCAGCTCGCAAAGAATATGAGAATCATATTCTAATATCCGAAAAGCTGGGCAAATTTGGGGTGACTGCAGAGCGCCAGTTGGAGCGAGATCAGGAGCTCAAGATATTCGAACAGTTCATTGGAAGCTATCACAAATCACTGGATAACATTTGTGCTGATTACGAAAAGGCCGTACGCTGTTTCTTGTTGACGCTGAACTCTCACAACGACCATAATTTACAGCTATTCGGTATTCGTTTAGACTTCAATGAATATTACAAAAAGCGAGATCAGCGTCTGTGTGTGCCACTGACTTTCGAGCACATGCGAATGAGTATTATGTTCAACGGGAGTAAGAGTTTGGCGAGTAGTCGATACTCGGTTGTGAATTGACATCCACCAATATCAAAGCGGTGCAAGGCAGTTCACATAAAGCAACAGGATTTAAGATTTGGAAACATTAAATTCCAACCTTATTTTACCCAGCCCACATCTGGTGACCTGATTTGGCCTAAGACACTCGTCAATTTCCAGCATGCCAAAAAAATACGACAAGATGATCGGCAAAATCGTCATGATGAACAAAGAAGGGATGATGGTAATGACAACGACATTGGTGCCAATAAAACTATACCACGTTTCTATGCTCGTACTTCATTTGCAACTTTAAAACGTCCTATAATTTTAACTGAAAAGAGCGATTGCATATATGTGGCTTGTTGCGAGATCTTGTAAACATTTGTTCTGGTCTTAAAGACACTGGTAATCCAGTATTTACAATGTGTATGTATGTATATGAAAAGTATGCGAAGAAATAAGGAAAATGCAATATTTTGTCTTAGCACGTGGCGGAGTGAATATAAAAAAGTCGAATGCAATAAATTTAAGGTCTTTCAGCAGATACATGAAAATATTTTAAAGTTTTGTTCTGTACTTGTAAAATCAATGAAGCTCATTTTAATTGTAAATTGTTGATTTGTAAAAAAAAAATAACTTGCTAGAACATTGAAGTTTTAAGCCCTAAATATATTCTATATTTATAAGTTGAATTTTTATCCTGTGAAGAACTAATCGTCAACCATACACACATACATACATATGTATGTATGCATCTTGTAACTAGAATAATCCAACAGAAAGGAAACCGGCAAGGAAAATCTTCACTTCCGAGTGAATTTCAACCCCATTCAATTGTAATACAAACTTTGACTTTGGTTGAAATCAGTGATGGAAAAGTAGGCACAATAGTGCCATTTTTGGCACTTTCATTCACAGAAGCACTTTCGGCACAATCCCTTCGGTTTTGTCACAATAATAAATTATAGAAATTTAGCATAATACGCCAGTATATAACAAATAATCATATATTTTTATTCGAAACATGAAAATTTAAATCACTTAAAAACTAAAATAAGGGCATTTATATAAAATTAATAAAAATTATCCAATGTAAAGAAGAATAGTCAAAACTGGGCAATTATTTCGCACATAGGTGTGTTTATTTGTAAACAGGTCCGAATAGCTATATTTCAGTGTTTTTCCCCTTTCGCAATTGGAATATTGTGTTATTTTACTATGATTTTACTCTAATAAATTAATGAATTAATAAAGTATTATATTATTAATAAAGTATTACATTAAAAATACTTTTTCTGAAAATACATATCGATGGCTGAGTGGAAGGTCGACCTATTTCGGCAGCCAGTTCGAAAACGCCCTATCTCAGCAAAACTTTTCAGGAACGCCCTACTTAAGAATTTGATTGTAGAACGCCCTATTTCAGAATTGTATTGAAAACACCCTATCTCAGAATTTGGTTCAAAAACGCGCTATCTCAGCTGCCGATTCAAAAATGCCCTATCTCGGCCCATTTTCAAGGTATTTTCATTTTAGATAGGACGTTTTTGAGCCGAATTCCGAGATAGGGTGTTTTCAATAAAATTCTGAAATAGGGCGTTCTTGAAAAGTTTTCTGAGATAGGGCGTTTTCGACTAGCTGCCGAGATGGTCGGCCTTCCACTCAGCCATCGATATGTGGTTCTTAAAAAGATTCAAACAAAAAAGCAATTTTAATTTTGTGGCACTTTCATCTCCTTTTTGGCACTATTTTTTGCAATCCATTAGGCACATTTTGAAATTTTGGGATTCCATCCCTGGTTGAGATTCACTCGGAAGTAAAGCTGCAAAACTATCGATGGTTGGACCATTCGATAGTTTTGCGCCTCACCATCCGATATTATCGATACTATCGATAAGAGATGCATAATCATATAGGGTTGTTCATCAAAAGTGATAAACTTGATAAAATTATGAATTTATCATTTTGATAAATGAACTGTCAAACTTTGTATGGAAATCTATTTAACCAAAGTTTATCACTTTATCAAACGATTTTGGTGGATAAATGTATATTTTAAGCAAAATTTAACTTTGACAGGTTACCAGGCGATCGCTTTTGCTACGAACACACAAAAAGTAAAGTAAATGAATACAATGGACGAGGTAAGAATAAAAACGTAACTAGCCATATAAGTTAAATAATAACAATTTTATGCAATTATTTACCAAGGTGCGTTTATGAGAAAATGCGGATAAACTGACAAATTTAAGCAATTTATCCTTTTAGCACTTTAGATGAAGACCCCTTGTGAGATCCTAACAATAGCACTAATTATATTGAATATGGTAATCGAGCTTGTTAAAAATGGTTCATAATTTGAAATTCAAAGGCCAAAAACAAAAACAAAATATATGGTAATATTAGTAGATAATATATGAATACTAACAAAATTAGTTATTTTAAACAACAAAAACAATGCATTTCAATTCTTTTAATTTAATTATAAAGTCAGTTGTGTGAAATCAAGGCTTCGGTTCTGTCACCCGAAAGTGTAAAAAAGCATAAATACGACGGCAAAATAGAAATAGGGACGGAACATTTTAACATGTTTGGCTAATCTTGTTTTGTTTATTTAATGTTTATTATTTTTTATGTGTACGAATTTCACAAATTTTTTGCAAAAATTAGGAAAATTCGATCAAGTTTCATCAAAATATCGAGTTTTTTTAAATTAGATTTCTTAGAAAAATTTCGAGTATGCACATTTGTATTTCAGTAAATTTTAGTAATAAGTGCAAGTTTTAAGTACGGATGTTACGATTCGAGCCCTGTGGTAATTCTGTATACCAGCAGTGCGTTCACAACTGTTTACAGAGGACGTTATCAGAGAGCAAGCAAATGTAAAAAAACCCGCTTCTTTCCCCGCTTACCGCTTCTTTCTCCACACTTGTCGTTCTGACTTCAATTTTTATTTTAGTTTCTGTTTTGATCCGACAAAAGCACGCGCCTGCCTCCGCAAGCGTCCCCTCTGCCTAGTGCTTATTAGACGAGACCTTAACGTTTTTTTTAGTATGTATGTACATATTTTGCAAAACTATCCAAAAATGATACATTTCATTCATTATTTTAACTTTTTTTTCTGTTTTCCTACGCCAGCACAAGTTATCCGTTAGCTCAAACGCTTTCGAATCAATTTTTCGATTTGCGAGTAACTTTGGCAATCAACTTCGGATTGCGTAGAGGCTTATATCCGTAAATCGATTATGGAAATCCGAAAATGAAATATTTTTTAGTATGGAAAATCCGTTTTCGGCCGAAAATTCTTTGGAATCGAATTGCATAGTAACCGACCAGATGTCAAGTTTCAGCGAAATCATTCGTCGCTAACTATTCTATTCTCCATATACAATGCATCAATGATACAATCTTATCAATATGGATGCTTTTGACATAAAAGAGCCCTAATTTTGCTCACAAGACAGATTAACCTGCTCATCGCCTAAATAATTATCGACATTAAATAATTTAAAAGCAGTTGGTGAATTGCTTTCATTGATTATATGTACTACATATGTATGTATTATTTTATTTGTTCGGTCGTTATACATTTACTTTACAAACTTACTATGTATCTATATTACAATAGAATATTTTATAAGAATTGATGTCTTAACTAGCGGGTAAGTTATACGAATCTATAGTTTTCCCTTTAGTTTATTAGTGGGACATGTGTATGTATATACGATTGTAGATGCATTTATAATATATTTTACGTCTACTACTTCTGCGATCATCTATCAGTTTACACTTGATATATATATAAAAGTAAACAGTTTGTCTCTTTAAAGTTTTTAAAGCTAGAAGCTCTGTGTTCATGTTGTTTTCTTTTATTTGGAAGTATGTTTCATATGTAAAGATACGAATTATTTTATTAGGAAAGAACTTACAACATACATACATGCGTAATCAATGTATGAAAGTAGGTACGAACGACTTTTGATGTATACATTGAACGCATTTTTATGCAACAATTTAAAATTTTTTGAAACTATTTAATGTACACTTGCATATTCTGTGCAGTGCTTATATAACAATTTTGCGTGAGATTCAACAACGCACTCGTTTCTGATATTTCATGCACAATGCAAAGTAGAATTGACGCCACGTGTATTGCATACTGATGAACCAACAATTCATATAACATTTGTTTTATAAAATGAAAAAAAAAGTATCTACTTTTTAGACGAAGAAGTCTTAAGTATCTCTTTATGCCATTGTAGCTAATTAACAAACAAAAAAAAAAAAGAGTGGCGAAGGACGGTTATACAGACAGTATGAGAAGTATGTGTTCGTAAATTAAATGATGTTTATCTCCTTGCTTGGTGTTGAGATGCCAATGGCTTCTTCATAATCTCCTTTTGACGATACTTGGTCCGCTGTTTTCTTATCCTTACTCTTGCTATGATGGTGATGATGGTGCTTGGCTTTTTTCTCTTTCTCTCCACTAATATTTTCCTGAATTATATTTTTAGATTTCTGAGTTTTTTCCTTTTTGCCTTTTCTCGCAATGTAAATGCTACTATCCACTTTTAAACTTTTAACATCCTCTGACGGAATATCCAACAAATTGGTGTTATCCGCATTTTCATTATTTTGCAATTTTGTCTTTGATTTGGACTTGGAATGTATTTTCGATGTACTTTTGATTCCCACGCTACTTTTGTCTTTTAATTCTTTCACGTCCTTTTCTTTACTTTTGGACTTTTTCTTTTCACGTTTCTTATTGCTTACTTTCTTATCAGAATCGGCTTCTGTTCCCAAATCCCGTGGATTATTACGCGCAGAATTGATCTCATCAAACCGGTTTTTAGATTCTTCCACAACAGGACTACAAAATTAAAGAAGTTACAATATATGTAAGTATATTTACATTTGCATTAGCTAATGCAACGTAAAATTCAATCTCTGCGGTCACTTACATTTCCAAATCGATATTCAAGGCGCGGTGCGGGTCATTTGGATCGAATTTAGAATCTTTATCCTCACTATCTGATAGTGCCACTCCCTCAGGCATATCCATGGTAGTATTTACTATATGGAGCGGTTTGGAGTCTAAAATTAAAAAATATATAGATACATATATAGTTATATATAAATATATTTTTTTTTAATGCAAGTCGATTGTTGTCTGAAGTTAGAATTCCACACAGGGGGCTTTTTAGGCTTTCAGCGCTCTATTCACAGCCACCAAGCCTAAGAAGCATGGTGTAGATTTCCAAAGCACATACCATCCTCCGATTCAGAGCTGCTGTAAGCGACTTTATTTTTCGACTTCTTATTTTTTTTCGTCTTCTTGTGCTTTTTCTTCTCCTTACTTGTGGTTTTATCCTGGACGAGATAGCGGTCAGAGCGTTTCATAACTATTCAGAAATGTGGAATGTTTTTTGAAAACCAAAGAGGATCTAAACGTTCCAGCAACAAATAACTTACCTCCAATCTGCAGCGGGACATCCAAGGAAAGCTCCGAAATCGGTATATCATCAATATTATCATACTGATCTGCATTGTAGCTAGAAATGTTCGCACCTGTCGCTTTCTGTTTATTCACATCCGTTGCAGATGGTGATGACTTAATGTAGTGTGGGTTATGAGATTGTTCTATGAGTCGAGCCATGCGATTACGTTCCATCTGTTCAGGTGTAATTTCTTCACTGTTACGACGCTTTCCTGCAGCGCCATCCTCATTATGCATAGCTGATACAAAAAGTTCATCTTTATCCTCCTGGGAAGAGGTACTGCTTTCATCTTCAGGCGGCGCATTTATCCACTCATCTAGATCAAGGCCGTCTGGTAGAGGAACTTTGCGTTGTGCCTTTGGCGCCACTGGTATAAGTTCGCCTTCAAACAATAATGCCATCTCTTGAACTATTTCTATAGCAAGGGTCGGTATAGTGGCTGCGGTGCTCAATGGGCTATGCATGGCCAAGTTTTCATTGTCGTCCGTGGAAAGAATGTCCAATGTGGTATTTGCATCTTGATTGCTATTAAGTTCAGAACCACGAGCAGGGATCTTGAATTGCGAACGCAGCATTTCAATTAGAATACAAGCAGAATTGGCACGTTCTTGAACCTCAATGTCATTGGAACTATTAAAATTTTGTAATTTCTCCAGAACGTGATCGCAAAGCTATAAATAATGTATATTTGAAATGGATTTATTAAAAGCACTGATTACAACTAAAGCCTCTTTCGATTCGTCACTTCTATGTCCGCTTATGTTCGGCTCTGCTCGCTTCACGAAAAATTGGCGTATGAAACGCATAAAAGTGATTTTACCCTTCAGAAATGAGAATTCTGCTTTACCGAATCAATAAAGGAAACGATTGAAAGGAGTATCAATGCCCTCCAATTAAAAATCGTACAGCAACTAAAGAAATGTTTAAAATAAGCTAGTGACATGCGACGTGTAATCTTTGAGGTCATAACATCCTGAAAGAAAGTTTTCTTCCCATTTCATTCAATTTATTACCTCAAAACTGAAAACACTTTTTCTGTAGGAAATGAAAGAGAGCTTTAAAATCACACTATTTGAAACAAAAAAAAAAACGTAAAATATAGTGCAAAAGAAGCCAACAGTCTTATTATCTATCTCGAATGATAGGTCGCACGAACGATTCGCCTGCAGACGAATCCTTCGAAAATTAGCCCAAACGCAACCAAGATGATAACGACGTATGTAGGTCGTTGTCATGCAGAAATTCCGTTTGGAAAACTGCATGCAATTGTTGTAGCAGTAAACTCGGAGAGCAAGAGTTCAGCGACTCTCACAGCAAAAAAAATGTTTAAGACTGAGTTTAAAACTGATTTATAAATAGTAAAATGTTTACAGCAGAATATCAAAAGGGTGCAACAACTATTCACTTGCAAGTTTTTACTAGCTTTGCGTTCAATAACTTTTTCTGCAAGTTTTCTCTTCTTCTCAATTTTACGCTCTATTTTGCTTTTACGCTCTCGCTGCAATGTTTTGCTGGAGTTAAGAGCCTGTCAGACGTGGCAATATTTCCGTCTTTCGCACGCAATTCGCTGTCAAATTGAGAAAGAGAAATTTTATTTCGATGTGTGAACAGCCAGAAAGATCTTTCTGTCACCTTTCGGAAATCAGTTTCAGAAATAAAAGTTGCAAGGTGGGACTGCAACTGCAAGAGCAAAAATCGATTTCGGAAATATGGCCCTTATTATGAGCTGCATTCGATTTTCGATCTTCGCTGGCTATCGAAGATCGAAGATCGAAAGTGAAATTCGTATTATGAGCTATGCAAGCGTGTCGAAATTTTCGTTGAGTATCGAATTTTCTGTCGAACAGAATTTTGCTTTCGATGGTGTAGCGAAGTGTTAGAAAATTGTGAAAAATGTATGATTTTGTATATGTTTTCTTACATTTTGGCGGCTAGACACTAATTTTAAACAATTTTTATTAATTTCATGCAGTTCTAACATCGTGAATACTAAACACAAGCTCGAAAGGCTGGTTTTACTTGTGAAAGAAAATCCCAATGCTCTGTTGGCACGATCTCCGAGAACAAAATCGTAGCGCTGTTGATAGTTTTAAAATATTTTAAATAGATTTGGCTCACAAACGCCTCTTTAGATGGTCGGAACTTTTTAATGAATCGGTAGACAAATTTCTTAAATATATTGTATATAAAAATATATTCGAAAGACTAATAAACTTAAATGTTTAAGAGAGCATTTGCTACTCCTGGCCAGTTTACTAAGCTCTCATCCTCTGACGAATCGTTGAACCAGAACTCGTTGTACTCATTTTACCACGTTTTTATAAAATTGCTTTCTTTTTTACTTCATTTTAATTACAACAAATTTGCATAAATATGTATAAGCACACTATTTAGTTTGCTCGATTTGTAAACAAAGCTTCTCAGCGGTGAAAAATATACTATTGTGAACAACCTAAACGAGCGAAATTCACAATAGCGCTATTCTTCATCGAATGAGCGCCATAATACTAAACGAAAATTCGTTCGCTCAGCACTTTCGACCACAGTCGAAAATCGAATGCAACTCATAATAGGGGCCTATATTTCAACTTGCTCGTGCTGCACTAGCAATTTTCATTTCGTGCTGCACTAGCAATTTTCATTTCTTCTGCAAGTGCTGTCAAACTAATCGAGTGTTGCCGTGTGGCCCTGATCGTGAATTTGTGTAAAATGATAAAAAATATTGTTGAATTAAATATCAAAAATGCTTGAAATATATTATTTTGCTTAATATACTTAATTGTTAAATTATTGTTTACACGACAAATATGTTAATTATAACCTATATTTTCTAGCTTTTACAAGAGAAATAGCAAACAAACGACAACCCCACGCTCATGGTTGCATTTTAGTAACGAGAAAGATTGCCAGAAACTCATTCGCTGTGTGAACAGCCAAAAAGCGATTTCAGAAATTTTTCCTGCAATTCGCCGTTCGGAAATAAAAACCTCTTTCGAAAGACACTTTCCATGCAAGGTGTGACTGCTCATGCAACTGATTTCTCAATTTGACAGCCTTTCCGAAATTTATTGCATCGAAATATATTGCCACGTCTGACACGCTCTTTACTATACAAAGCTATTAACTCACAGACTATATTTATTAAATAAATTATTGAATTTTCAAACCTAAATAACTTTATTCAAAAATAAAAAAAACTGAAGTTTTGGAAATTACAAATTTTTTATAAAGTGAAAAAACTCTAAAAAAATAGGGGGCCTAGGGCAAATTGCAGACGGGCCCAACTGTCCCGACTGACATGAAAAAAACTAGTCGATTATGTTTACTCATGACTTGCGTAAAACTAACTGTAAATATAAAGTAAGTATACACATTCAAAGGGTATGTTGTCGTTATTAATTTCGCGTATCTACTTTTTGTAACATCTACGTATTCTTCGAAATGTGGTCGGCGAAGTCTGAGCTTGCGGAGAAAATTTTGCGCAAAAAGCAAGAAAAAGTAAGTAGGGACGAGGAAACATACGTCGAACAAGCCTTTAAGCATATTCGGGGCGCTGAGTTTTATAATGCAACGAAGAAAAATGGAGTCCAAGATGCTTTCAAGCTAAAAATGTTGGACGAGCTCCTTGTTTTTTTATTATTTTTTTCGCCTAATATATACTTGGCGTGGCAACCATCTGCCAGTGTGGCACGAAGAGCAAAAAATTTATTATCACAGGCTCTAAAAATCAAGAAATTTATATGAAGAAGTGTTTGCAATAACGATTGCTGTCGTTCACAAAGCAACATAAAGGCTCAGTTCTGTTTTAACCCGATTTAGCATTGAGCCATTACAGCCCTCTTGCCATGAACTGGTATGTCAGATAAAAGGTAGATATTGTTCAAAAGGACCACGACCCATTAAACTGTTCACAATGTTAAAAACGAAAGAAGACATCTAAAATTAGCAGCATTTCAAAACTAATTGGCAGAGAGCAGCAGATACCGTCACAAAAACGGGTGTCCATAGCTTAATGAGAGGGCTCAAATGTAAATGGTGCCATTTTGTTTATAATGAAGATAATTAAAAAAAGTTTTTTTGTTTAATATAGTAAGCTTAATAAAGAAGATGATAAAACAGACACCTTTTTTCTTAGGTTGTGTAATATGTTGTTATAATGATTGTCGACTGGCGAATCGAAAACGGCTTATGTATGCAACATTAAACTCACCTTAATGAGGCCGTTTACTTCTTCGTTTTCCAAGCAAGTCGTTGCCAGTCTTGTAAATAGTTTTGTAACGTTTTGCACAAACACACTCTGTATATGACCAGGCACTTGCCGTGAGCGCAACAAAATATTTAAAGTCTTTTCCGCATCTTCTAGATCACTGTTGGTTATGCAAAATTTGTTGAAAATTACAATAGCAGGAGTCACAAAAATTCGTCAAAATTTACATACTTTGAAAATTCGCCGACAATCCAAGCGGCAGCATATAGCACTTCGTACATTGAGGTGCTTTGCGATGTTACCGAAAATGTATCCAGCAAATTCGTCATTTCATTAACCGCAAATTGTCGTACAACCGGAACACGTATGGCAACATCCAAAAGTTGCTCGGCGATTAAACGTCCTATAGGAATTAAAAAACAACCAAAAAAAAATGTGCATTGGCGTAAAACTAATGGCGCGACTAGGACATACCGTGCTTGGAGCCCGCCTCAAGTTGAATCAATTCCACCAGCACAGTCAAATACCATTCGAAATTTGTAACGTACAAATAAGAACTTTGTGCGCAAATCTCAATTACTTTATAGAGTAATTCATCGCGATATAGCGATCCTTCAGCGCGCTCCATGTGGCCTAGTAGGCGTTTGACGATTTCCATGAGGTTCTTCTTTGATACCATGCCATATAGCAGATCCAGTGCACGAAGACGTATGGATTCGTCTTTATCATCTAAACACGCCAAAATCAAATCTTTGTGCTCTTGAACACTTTTAGGGTGAGTTTTCAAGATCTTAGACATGGCCAAAAGTCCGAGATATTTCACTTAAAAAAGAGTGGGATAGTTAAATACATACATATGTATTTACATAAGTAAATTGTACAAAATAAATGTAATAAAACATTCAATGCTCACAATTCTGATCGGAGTCCTCGATAAGAATTCGCAATTTTTGGACACAAAGTTGTATAGAGGCACTATGATTTGGCATGCCGCTGCTGATACTGATGAGCACCGCGATCACTGTGTTTATGCATTCATAAAGCAGACTCATAGCCGACGTGCTGGTGTGGGCAAGGAGAGCAGGGCAGAAGTAACATATTTTAATTTTTACCCAATTAACTGTTATGTAGTATGAACATTCAAATAAAAATTTAAAACGCATAAAAAGCTGAATGTGTAAAAATGTGTGCATTTTTAGCGATATTATAAAATGATTGCAGTAAAATGTGCATAACATTTGCATTTGAAAACAAAAGTGAATGAAAACTCATTTAGTAGAGTTTGTCGAGTTTTAACAATTCAATAAAAAAAAAAAACCATCGTCAGTACTAGCTAGAAATCGCCCATGAACAGTTTTAAAACCCCCCCGATAGGTTACTTTAGGTTCAGCGAATGCGAATGGAAGTAAAGTCGGAATGCTCTTACCCTCTAGGATTCTTCTATACCGAACCCCCCGCCCCCTTTTTAAAGAGGACATAAACCGTCATCCACAAAACTGCAAACCCCGACGCCTAAGCCGACTATGTTCAAAAATCTCAATTTTCACTTGACCGCCATATTGGACTCGGCATTCTGAATTTTTAAAATCATGCCTTAGGTTGGAAAATCAGCAACCTCAATGTGATGATCCATGTCTATGTGATCATTTCAAGACTTTAATCTTTGTAATCCGTTCTATAGAATTTTGGCTATCGTACTGTACCGGTTGACGTGATGTGGAAATTAAATTAGATTTACGCCGCTTACGCGCGTTCCCTATCGAGATCGATAATGAAATTCTCAACAACTTTGGGATTTGAATATGCTTCGGATTTTCAACAGAAATTGTTGAAAAATGGCGAAAACCGAAATAAAATTTCGCACTATTTGCTAATTATTTACAATAAAAAATGTGTTTTTTAACCTTCTGTATAAAAAATATGGGAAATTAAATTCTCTAGAAATTTTTTTAACGATAAATGCAAAACAAACTTGTAAATCGCAAAAAACCCAAAAAAAAACTAAAATCTAAGATGGCGGAATGTTGCCATATGAAATTTAGGGACAAGACTGTGGTTCCCTGATCTACGTGTCAAATAGAAGTAAACTGCATAAAAAAATTGCTACTAGAATTTTTTTTTCTTGAGAAAGTCTAATTTTCCTGGGCTAAAATTTTCAAATCCGTTGCTGTGGAAACGGTGAAATAAAAACGTATTTTTTCTTAAATCGTAAGTGTAAATGGGAATGGATTTTATTCGGATCAGAAATGGAGCTTGGGACCTATTGGCCGGTAGAGTGTACCTCTAACCACTCGACCTCGATGACCTCATGCGAAACACACTCCATGTACCCGATTATTTTTCTTGCCCTATACGGTGAGCGCAAGGCGTATTCAACAAGGTAGAAGGATTTCGACATTTCTCTCTTTTGAGCACCGACTATAATGTCAAATGATTTATGACTCTTAACCCTTTGCAAGTTGGCATTTTCTATTTGTCATTAAAAAATAAAGTGCGTGCTGTGAGATAGTTTTGAATTGTGTTTTGTTTTTTTTTTTTTACCACGTTCATACATATACATACATGTATGTACATGGTTACATATATAAAAAAAAATAAATGCAGCACGAACCACATACGAGCGTTGCGATGTGTGGTGAGAGCCAAAACGTTAAATCGGTGCGATATTTTAAGGCGCCTAGCTGCAAAGTTAGAAGACTTCTTTGGTAGAACAGCTGCAGTGCTTAATTGGAAGATTCTTCCCGCGTCTGTGAAAATCATTTCAACGCGAGTAATTATGTACTTGTCCATTGCAACTAAATATTTTCACAAGACATTGGGCCGTATGAATAAAAACTAAGCAATTGCTTTTTCTTAAAATTTCATACCTTTTACTCCAATTTTGTTTGATCTGAAATTTTAAGAAAAAGCAATTGCTTATTTTTATTCATTCGGCCCATTGACTTAGATTAAACGAAAAAAAGATGGATTAGAGTATACGAGTATAGCTGGCATTGCCATACGAAAACTAGCAATGAACAAGTATGAAGAAAAAATCTCAACCTCGTATACATGGATAGACCATATTTTAAACGGCAGGTTAATTAAACCCATGAGTGAGTTCATGGCAGCTGTTCAGGAAATGGAAGCAATTTTCAATAAATTAAACGGGAGAGAGATCTGTCATTGCAAAAATTTTATCAGCGAATTGTTAAAATTAAATCTTCATACAAGTTTAAGAGAAAACATTTAATAAAAAGATTGGGCGAATAAATGCAAAACAATAACTAAAACTGTTTCTTACAACATTTCTTTCATTTTATTCGGATGTGTGGTTTATTTTATGGGGTATTCCGTTCTATCCATATGTACTCTTACATATGTATCGTGTTTATGAAGATGCGTTTCAATGAATGCTTATTTGAAGCAAATGTAGCACTCGCACCTCAAAGGGTTAATTTTTTTGTTTACAGTTTTTTGATATTATAGTTAGCTACCATGATTCCATAATAGAAAGGTTTTGTAATAGAACAGTCTTCTCGCTCCCACACATAAAATCGGCTCCTTTACTTGTACCGAATGTTGCCCACTCTACAGTTCCTAGTTATATTATTAGTAAAACCAAAAATTCTTCATACTAATTATGCGGCAAAAATGCCGATTGATAGAACTTTTTACGCTGATTTCAACGATACCAAATTTATAAAAATAAAGAGAGGTTTACTTCAGAGATCATAACGATTATAAGAAATGAAACTAAATATTGCTCTATAATTACGAGACACGAGAAAAATAAAAGTCGCATATAATTATTATGAAAAGACGTAAATCATTTCCGTCTTAAAACGAACGTCCCGCGAGATGAAAAAAAAAAATAAAAGTCCCACATAATTATTATGAGAAGACGTAAATTATTTTCGTCTTGAAATAAATGTCCCGAGAGACGAGAAAAATAAAAATACCATATAATTATTATGAAAAGACGTAAATAATTTCCATCTGAAAAAATCGTCTCGCGAGACGAAAAAAGATATTTCTCGTAAATAATTATTATGCAAAGACGAAAAAATGTCTCTTAAAACAAGGCGACGATCTTGATCTCAAATAATATGATAATAATTATTTTGGGTCCCTGGTTTATTTGCTTTGTTTATTTATACTTTTTATTATGACATCATTTTTGAGGCCCAAAAGTAGATCACGATAAAATATGTATATGGAATTAAAGATAATAGCTTGTACTTTCTAATAATATACATTTCTTTAACATTAATTATGCATTTTTTCTCGAAAAAGGTTATGTCACGAAAAAATAACATTTGTTTCGTTTTTTTTTAGTGGTTTTGGTTTAAACTTATAAAAAAGCATATAAATTATGTACATCAGCTGAAAGATCAACTAATTATCTTTATGGTGACATCATTCGTTTTTTAATCGGTTATGCAGTTTATAAGATATTAATATTTAAAAAATCAAACAATTTAACTTAGACCTTTCAAAACGTATTTATTTTTTACTTGCGCCAAATAATTTTGGCATGGTTGACAAACACCCATGGGCTTTATTTCTCTTTTTTTTTGGAAATGGCCGTTATTTCCGCGGGCCTTATTGCACTCCACCAGTTTACATTGCAGAGCACAGTAGGCGTACTAATCTAAATGGTAATATAATCATTTTGTGTCCAATTTGCCGTCAAATTGTTCGACAATCAATCAATAATGCCCACCGGCAAAAGGCAATAAAGCCCACGGGCTTAATTTCTTTTTCGAAAAGGCAATAACGCCCTAAAAAAAAGAAACAAAGCCCATGGGCGCTATTTCTGCGGGCGTTTATTGCACTTCACCACATATTAGTTCTAATTGTATACTTTGCGTACTTTTTTTAGTACCTTTCTACTACCGTTTTCGCAAAAGGCGATCACATTTTTCCCCTTTCTCCTACTTCCAAAACACAAATCTAGATAAAGGAGTGTCAAATTTGAGCTGTCACAAATTACATAACCTTGTATTATTGAATCATGGTTACATGGCTACAAGAGAGTTCGTGCTATTTGTCACTTCTATCTTGCTAAATATACCTTGGGTGAGCGTACTTTTTTGTATGTAGTAAATGTTCAGTGGAAATTTAGGTTAAGAATTCGTAGTGCCATCACCTGTATGTATATGACTCTACCGTCCATTGCAATAGGATCCCATAGCGGTTTTGAACCTGCACCCGCGAATTTGGTTCTTTTGCTGATACGTTTTATACGCACATTTACAAACTGCTCAAGCAGGTTTCTGTACTATTACTGACGATATGCATTAACGCAATTTGTATGAATTTAAAGGATTTTCTAAACATCTATATACATATACATACATACGTTTATGCATTATTTCAAATCAAAAATGACAATTACACGACAATGAAACTTGCCTATGAATAAGATTTGTGAGAGGTTCTATTAATTTCTTTCCTAGCCGGGGTTCTAAAGGAGTTAAAGCGCCAAACTGCAAATGCAAGAGAAAAAGAAACAAGCAAAGAAATTATAAATACATAATAATATACTTAAAAATTACATAAACTTATTAAGATTTGGGCTTTATCATTTGCTCACTTTTTTCATAAGAACATACATACATTCATCTATTGATTGCCATTAAGAATATTCACTAGTTTCTTCAATTGTTTACTTAATATTCATTCATATTAATAGAATATCCCAGTAGTCTTCCAAAGCCATTACTTGAAAGTTTTCAATATACATACACTAGCCTAGAGTGCAACGTTGCTTAGTCCGTTTCTTTTTTTTTATTTTGCAGGAGAGGAAAAAACTTCTTATAGCCATTTTCTCTGCAATTATTGTGCAAATATTTGAATGCAACATTTTGCGTGTTTATAGCAATGGAAAACTCCATACGAATAAGAAGAATTCGATCTTTATTAAAAGATTTCGTACTATTTTGGTTTTGTCGGATTTTGGGGGCCTCTTTTGGTCTTAGTAAATTTTCCTTTCATTGAATAGTATGAACGAGAAATAATAAAACAAGTGCCTTAATCGTTTTTGAAATGATGCATTTTTAATATCCTTTGCTTCCTTTATTAAAATATGAGTTTTCTGAAAAAAAATAGGACTTAGCAACTTTTCACTCTAAGCTAGCGATAATCGTATAATTTTAGCGGATTACTGGCAAACTTGCTCTGCTCAGAAAGGAAAAATATTCAAAATTACTTTCGACAGCTTAGCCTTATTTTTGATGGACCGCAGACGGGAATTAATGAGCAACATTACTCAGCAGGGACTGGGTCAGCTACATCTTACTGACAGATATTTGGCCTTCTAAAAATAGCAACTCTGCGGCGCGAATTGCAAATCGCGAATTAGTCTGCATTGCGCTTGATTGGATTTGATAAATATTAAAATCTTGTTGAGTGGAGTAAAGTAATTGCGTATTTTTCAAAGTCATTTATTTATATCTGTGGTCATAAGCAATAGTCGCCTCTAAGTCGAAAATCACACTTTCGTGAAAACCTCAACTAAATGTGTGGAGCTCTTCAAAGATAATTTTTAAATGTACATACTTAGCACTTACATTAGAAAAAACTTAATACAAAATTTAAAAATCCTCGCACAATGCTTTGGTATAAAATTATTTAAAAATTGTGTGTGGTTTTCGTACGTCGAGAGAGGACTTTACTCCTGAAGTCCATAGTAGCACTTGTTGGCAAGAGTGATTCTGCGTTGGATTTCGAGATACTGACATTAGGTTCGTTCGCGTAGCTGTTAATTGTTCATGTTTAACCAAAACTTACAAGTTTTTGCGTTCGCGTACGCAAAAAACTTGCAAAGTAGGGGAATTTGAGAGAGCAAACTGACACTTAATTTTGAGGGGAAGCTGCTGGTTTCTGCTGGAAAAATTTTTGCCAACAGCAATTTGCCAACAGGAAAACAGCTGGTCAAAAACAGCTGGTTGGCATTTACGCAAATCACAAAATTGAATTTGATGGTTTGGAAGATAAAAATTACAAAATGCGACTAATTAAACTTGTAAGAAATAAGTAGTTATTTGTTTAATCAATAAACTGTGTCAGTATAACACTTTGCGATGAGTTTTCGTACTTTTTAAATTTTACACTTTTGTATGTAAACAAAAATTATATCAGCTGTTCGTCCAACTTGCAGGTTTCTGCAAATTTTCTGTTCGCGTACTATTTTGGATATATCTCTCTTGTGAGAGAACAAATGACATTTCCCCGAAATTTGGCAGTTGGTTGGTTTCTGCTGGAGATTTTAAACGAACGCACCTATTATTATCGGCGTTAATGCTGCTTCCCAAGAGTAAACGAAATTCTCTACCTTCTCGAAATTATAACTGTCAACAGTGACGTGAGTACCAAGGCGCCAATGCGCTGACTATTTGTCCGCACAATGGGGCAACAGCGACCAAAAGTAGTAAAAACGGATTAGCGAATTCTGAAAAAGTATTTACGCAGCTTCATAGCAAAATGTCCAAATAACCCAAACCAAAAAGAATTTTTGATAAATATTCATATTTGTAGTCAAGAGACGAGCTTAAAATAGGAAGACAGTTTCACTTGAAACTCTACATAATTTTGTGAGTATAAAATTTTCGAGGCACCAAGGAAGCGATATAAATTATACTTAGGACAAGTAAACATTAAATATGCGTGTCATATCTCAAATAGTTCCAGCTGTGAAGAACTGTGAGTTCAGCATCTAGTCATTCTTTTTTTGACACACCTCTTGTAAAGTTTATTGAATTTTATTGTAGAGTTGAAGGGCAAGACTCTGATATGTACATAAAATAAATAATATGCAATATAAAATTGAAGTTGAAGAAGGTGTAGATATGAAAGGCTCGTCAATCTATTAATCACATTCAACATTTAGCCAAAAATGGACGCTTCTCTGGACGAGATCCGTTTTCGATGGCAAAATTCCTGCTTGCCTTAGCTCAGCTTTTGTTATATAAAATGTAGGTAAAATTGAAAGTTTGAGTGCAAATACATGTCGTGACCATAATTTCGTATACAGGTATTGTAAATGTTTTCGTTTTGCCATTATTAAAAGGAAGAAATAGGAATTTCTTTAGAAATAAAATCAATGTGTCTGTTCATTTTTTCCAAAATTTATAAAATTTGGTACTTGGAAGCAAAAATGTTGTGTAGGAGGTGGGCGTCATAATAAGATACTCTACATTATCTTCCAATTTGGAAAAATTTGGCTTAAACGAGCCAACAACGGGCCACACCGAATTTCATCAAAAAAGATTTTTTAATTTGCTCTTATTTTTCTAGAATTATTGGACGATAATGTAGGCCGATTTTGACGTTCTTTCAGATTTATGATACGAAAATCGGATAACACTTACTATTTCCGCCCACAAGAGCTGTGGGCATGGAAGCGTGTTGAATTTTACCATTTTCCACATTTCTTCATCCCTAAGTGCCGAATAGCGTATATACGACGTTTCAGCGAATTTCTAGTGTGGTTACTAATTTTGACCGCAGCTTATATGGGGACAGCCCACTGTGTTTCGTCTGGTCCTCGTTGACCACCAGACCCAATCGTTTTGCTTCCTTATCCAACGTGGAAAAGGCAAAACAATCTTCGCGGTTCTTGTACCGTTGTGTTGTCTTGTAAAAAAAAATGTCCAAAGCGTTGAGTTCTGCAGATCTTTTTATCTTCTCTAACATCAGATTAAAGAAATCACATGAAAGGGAGTCTCCCTGTGTGACACCCCGTTGGTAGCAAACGGCTCGGAGAGGTGTTTCTCAATTCTCACGGAGCTGGTGGTATTGCTCAAGTCATTTTACCAGTCAGCCAAATTCAGACATCGCGGCGTATAGGCAACTCTTTTTAGCGCCTTCAAAAGCGGCTTTGAAGTCGACAAACAGATGGTAAATGTCGAGTCATCAACCTCGATTGGCCTTCCTGATTGAGGGAACACTTTTGATATCAAAATTTCCAGCGTGGAATTTCTAAAACAACAGCTTTGACTAAAGTTCTTTAGAAGGACGTTAGAATGAAGTTTAACCGTCAGCTGTTATATAACATAAATATGACAAACATATGTGAGGAGTGTCTAAACAAAAGATGATGTTCCCACTTCCGGTAAATTTTTAGATTTTCTAGTTTGATATTACCTTCAAGATAAGCCGCATGTAAAAAATTACCTAATTCATATCAAAACATGTGTAATATATTTTTTTATATATATATTTTTTTGACACAAAATCGAAAATCTGCAAAAAAATAAATACTTCGGTATTGATTTGTGTATCTTCGTTACTTGTTCGTCCTGTAGAATAGTGAATAGTGGAAATGTAATTTTTTGATTAGACACTCCTCATGCCTGAATGAGTCTTGTGCTGCGAAAACTAAGTTAAGACCAGGTGTTTTGAACGAAGGCAGTGACTTTTTATTCCACCCAATACTTCCAAAGTAGATGTTGCGTCATCAGTCACAAAAAAACCATGTATGTAATAAACTCACGCTACACAATGAAATAGCAACCAGGCGGGCAGAAAATAATGTTAGCTTGATTTAGCATCGCAATTAAACATCTTGCCAACTGACAATAGCAGTAGACTGGTTTCCACTGTGTTAATATGTTCTGTTCCACACGAGCCTGAATCAGCTGATTTAGGAAATTTTGACATTTTGTGATAAAATCATTTTTTATTCTAACCGGTTCCATTCCGGGCGCTTTGAAACAAAGCCATTTAGCCTCATTTACATATATGTATATTTACCGGTCCTTATTGGGCTAACTCACTTGATGTGCGATTTTTGGGCCATATGTTTTTTAACTTATTTCACAACAAAAGCCATTGAATTCACCATAGTGAAAACAATCCTTTATCAATACGCATTCGAATAAATAGGAAGGACAACTTTGTTAGGGGGTGTACATCTTCGGCATTAACTAGAACATTTATACTAAAAATGATAAACTAATTGAGCTTAATATGTATGAAAAATAAAAATGATAAAATAAAATATGCGACAAAGCTTGTTGTGCATAAAATTGTTTCAGCCAAATAATACGTTTACATTAACACAATTAATAGTTACATTGTAACCGTGAAAGCGTAAATATAAAATAGTATAAAAGAACAAAATACGAAATCGTACATAAAAAGCAATTTAAAGAGTGATATAATATAAACCTGGAAATGATTTCAATCAGGGGCTGAGTTAATTTGCGTCCTAACGCTGGCTCGATTGTCGTAAGGCTCGCAAACTGATAGGAAGTAATACGAAGTTTCAAAGCAATTAAAACCCATTATTTCAGATAAGCCGCATTAATCATAATCGAGTTATTCGGTTGAATCAAGAGAGAAGAAGAAGAGAAACAGGTTACAAAAAGGCATTCAAGATAATTTTTCGCTAAGGTAAATTTCTTACAATAAGTAGGAAGAAATTTACTTCTCATACAAATGGATTCGTAAAAATACCTCACTTCCATACATATGTATGTATGTATATCGCACATTTGCTGCAAGAGTGATCTAAAAATTAATACAATTGAGTTAAGTATGAAAAAATTACCACTGCCTGTTCATAGCTGTACCGATTACCAGTAGCCCACTAGAACAAAATATGTATTAATTTTTACTAAACGAGCAAATTTTTGTTTTTTATTGGAGAAGCAAAAACCCTATAAAAAGAAAATCATGCATGCAGCTAATGATTTTCATAAAGTGGCATAGCTCCGTTGTTTTTTGTAAGTGAAGGCGTATTTTTTATATTCTACCAAAATCTGTGAAAAACGCTTCTTTGAAAGTGTTGTTAAGGGCCCTTGTAATATGTTAATTCAAAGCTTTAAAGCCGTTTTTCACGAGCTTTTGGATTATGACACTTTTGCAGCAAATATGCGATATGTATGTACATACATACTGCATGCATACCAAGAAATTAAAATTTTTACAAAAATCTGAATTTAATAAAATATACAAAAAATACTTAATTTCACTGGGTTACAGCAAAAATGTTCAATGGATGCCACTATCCAATTTCTAATTAGAATTTCTCGATGATTCCGAAAATCGAGTAAATTTTTTTTCTATGCATACGTTCTCGAGATATTTGCAATTGACCGTTATTCAGCCTAAAACAAAAAGTGGTTCCACTTAATCACGTTTATCTTACGAGCCAATTTATTAATCTTAAACTTAACTTGATTTCATTGTAACACAACAGGCTTTAGCACAAAATGCAAAAATTTGTTACAGAACCTGTTATTTTTTTAATTTTTCTTCCGTTAATGTTGGACTTTTTTAATTTTTTCATTAAAAAAATAAAAAAACTGGAATTATTAATTAATTTGTCAGAAACTATCAGTCCTATCGGAAAGTGATGCATATATGGTTTATGGAAAATTTTATTAGCTTTCATTTGCCTTACCATGTTTTAACCACTTTTGTTTTAAGCTGAACAACGGTAAATTGCAAATACCTCGAAAACGTATCCATAGAAAAAAATAATAATTAATTCGATTTCCGGAATCACCGAGCAATTCCACATAGAAATTGGACAGTGGCGTTTGGAGAACAAAAACCAAGCTAAAACTTGTGATCCAGTGTTTTCAAAGAGGAATATTTTCGGACCATCGTTTGTCTTAATGCACGCATACAAACATATAACTTGTTAGCAGGAAGAACGTCATAAATTAAATTAAAAAAAAAAATAAAATCGTCTAAGAGGGAATGCCCTTCAATTTTACTCATTTTCACTTTGTTCAGCAATTAAAATAAGAAGATTCATTGGTAAAGTAAGGAACCAAAGTAAGTTTTGATGACAGCTTAATTCTCAGAATGAATTTTTAAGTTTACGTTGTACAAATTTTTAGCTACTTTTTATTTTTGTTCAATGGAAAATACCTAACAAAAAATGTTACGTCTTTTTCAGGCATTTTCATTTTTCCAGTTGTGACATTCTTGCGGCAAACTAGCAATATGAATGTATGTATGTACATGAATGAAGAAGCATGATATAACGAGTTGTGACACTCTAAATTAACGATATATCAGTGCATGTTTTTAACTGGCATTTGTATTTACTAAAAAAAAAAGTAGCCAACGTAAATGGTTGATTCTTCCGGTGAGTAAATTTATATATCTGAACTCCGCTGCCAAAACGGATATACTATTTATTATTATTCAGAGTTAAAAATATATCTAAATGTGTACCAATGACTTATATTTAATCGATAACAAGCTTTGAGTTTTAACTTAACAGCGATTCTAAAAATACTTTCTTACAAAATTTCATTCTTACAAGTCTTTGGAGAAGCCTAAACAATTCCAATCGAAGATTCAAATGAATACTTAATACGGAATATTCTTAAAAATCTGACTCTTCGTATGTAGATATTGAAATGAACATGAATGTAGAACAGAAAATATTCTTACTCACCAGTTTTATTATTTTAATTAGCATCCAGTTGTTGGTAGACGTTGTCATGAGTTTGAAAAAGACTGGTGCTAAAGGCAAATAGTTCTTTGGATTTTTACGCGCTAACTCACAAATCACATTAACGGCAGCGGATTGTACTCCTTTTATGAAAAATAAAAGGTATATATTATTTCAAATTATAACTACATGTACATATGTTCATTAGGGCGATCCAAAATAACTAACCTCATCAATTTATGGCCTTAGAAGGACCTTTTTACTGAGAAGAAAACTCTCCCATTTGGAAAAATGTGTATTCCAATTTAAAAAAAGGTGTCGGTCATTTGAAATTTTTCTTGTAAATAACATGTAAAACCAAAGTAAAGAAGTATAATTTCGGGCGAAACCGAACATTATATACCCGGCGTACATATTAAATATCGTTTTTTTAATCTTTCAGTAAACTGCAGTTTCGATAATTTGCTATGTTTTATTGAAATAATTGGACCAAGTTTGCCGGAAATCGGTAATGCGATTATCGATAAACGCTTATGTAGTCATATGTGGGTGGTGCCACGCCCATTTAACAAAAATTAATAATCTTGTTTGTATTGAAAAATCGGAGTTTTCATATTTCTGAAATTTACTGTTATATGGTAAGTGGCAGTAATTTTAATCCGATTTCAAAAATTTTCAACATATTGCTTTTTTGTGCCAAGGTTGATAACCGAGTTTGGTAGAAATTGATAAACCGGTTACCGAGATACACATATGTAGGCGTAACTGGGCGGTGCCACGCCTATTTTCAAAAAAAAAATCTCTAAGTATCATTTCCTGCTAAGAGGTCATTGCATATATCGATTTTGAGCAAATTAGCTTAAATAGCTAATAATTTATCGCGGTTTTCGTATTTCTGTAAACTACCGTTATATGGGAGGTGGGCGTGGTTCTTGTATGATTTCAAAAATTTTCAACGGGTATCTTAGTCAAGCCCTAAGTAATGTTCGCACCGAGTTTGGTAGGGATTGGTAAAGGGTCTACAGAGATATAGCATTTAACCATAAGTGGGCGGGGCCACGCCCACACTTTCCAAAAATTTCATAACTGTCTTATTTTATATGCCAAAATTCTACTTCGCATACCAACTTTCAACAATTTGGATCCAGTATTTGCGGAAATATCGTAGTTTTTGCATATTACGAAAATACCGTTATACATATGGGAGGTGGGCGTGGTTATTGTCCGATTTAGCCTTTTTCCAATCCCAACCTACTTTGGATGAAGGGAAACCTACTTACCAAATTTTGTTGCGCTCGGGTATAAAAATTTGTTTTCATTAAAAAGATTATAAATATAATTTTATTCTGGGCGTATTATTGTAGGGAAATAAATTCTCTAAAAAATTACGCTGAAGTTGGTTATCTTATAGACGATTAAAAGTATTAAATATGTTAATGATATGGCTGGACGAGGTATGGCGTTGATATAACTTTGACGAAAGACGAAGAACAATTGGCAGACAATCGTCAATGGTTGAACCGTTTGTTATAAGGAATTCGTCTACGAAGACCCTTTTAGGATTCATTAGGGAAGCCGAAGGTATCTTGGCCACACTCAACAAGAAGAAGAAATCAAAAGATATTTTAGGTCGCGGTGTCTCTTGTTCTAGTACACCCAAAAATTAACTAATTAACTAACTAACCACGCATTTTGTATCATTTTAATGTAAGTTTTTTTAATTCATAAAGCCCTAAAACTGCTTTTTTCGAGTTTCATAGCCCGTAAGTATATGTATACATTTTTTAGTCTAGATAATCGACTTAAGAGTATTTTTTTAGAGAATATAATGCCCTACAAGAATATGCCAAGAAAAATCTCTAACGGTTCAATAGTTATAACATTTTTAATAAAAGCAATTTTTTTACCTGTTATTTATATGAAAAATTTCAAATGCCCACCGACACCTTTTAAAATTGGAATACAACTTTTTCCAAGGGCGAGAATTTTCTTCTCAGTAAATGTACACTGCCGGAACAAAGTATTAGCACAGCAAATCTTTCACAATATATGCAACAATTTTTATTTTTATTGTAATAAAGTGCAAGTTTTAAGTAGCTAGGAATTACTGTTGATTGTTGGCAATTTTTTTCACGCAGTCTCTTCCATAAATTTTTTTTTTTTCGAAAATACTTTATATGGAAAAAATGCAAAACACATTCAACAAAAAAATTCTCAAAAATCAACGCGATTTTTTACTAACTCCGAACTTGCTTTTTTTTACTAGAATTTAATGGGATGCAAAACTGCATACTCAAAAAAATTCTAAAAAACCTGATTAAAAAGTTGAAACTTTTGATGAAAATTTGCTGAATTTTCACGAGTTTTGCACAAAGTTTAGGAATTGTTTTTGTTGTTGAATGAACTATATTTTTATACAAAATTGGCGGAAAAATATTAGAATAAAAATTGTTGCATATATTGTGAAAAACTTGCTGTGCCAATACTTTGTTCCGGCAGTGTATATATTATAAATAAATATTTTAGACGTCGTAACGTTTTGTTACATACTTTAACCTACAATTCAAGTTTTTTAACCGACTTCAAAAAAATGAGGAGGTTGTCAATTCGTCAGAATATTTTTTTTTTTATATGGTCCCATACTAATTTCATTTAGATCCGATCATTGGATCATGAACAAATTAGCGGTACTCATAATTTTTTTATATGAGAATTGAAGTCGGTTTTGTTTTTTCGTTTAAATATTACTTGTTAACACAAAATTTCATTCAAAAGTTTTTACAGCGCGTTACGTCGCCCATACCTGGATCGGGATCCTCCAATTTTTCCTTAAGTTTAGGGAATGCAGGTCTTAGTGCTTCTGGGTAGCGCAAAAACACTTTATACATCATAAGGACGGCTTTCATACGCAAATACGGTTTAGTGGAGCTCATCTACAAACAATTTACCTATTAATATTTTAGATCGTTTCGAATTGTAATAAAACTCACAAGTGTCATAATATCATTTGCAAGATCACGTGATAAATCCGGTGAGATAAAACAGCTAAGTCCACTTAAAGCCACACCGGCATCATATTGATTTTGAGAATTCAAATCCTTGCGTATCATATTTGTCGTTAACATAAGCAACTAAATCCAAACAAACAAATTTTTTGTTTTTTATTTTTCCAGGTTTTATTTACTGTTTTTAGTTTCCGTCATTCCGGCACTCACCTCGCTTTCGGGATGAAAGCATTGACTTGCAGCCAAGTATCCTATACGTTTACATGTAAATCGTGAAGAGCTCATTACTTCAATGATATTGAAACCGGCCCAGGATATGTCATAGCCAAGCATCTGAATCTGTAAAACGTGACATGTATCTTTTTAAAATTTTGTATTGTCTTCAGGATGCTGCTTAATTGATGAACACAAAATCAATAGTCATTT